TAGATTGATAGGAAAAAGGAATAATAAAAAGTTGATTAATCCAAATAAAGGCAAGAAAGGAGAAAAAAGCTACATAAATAGCTGAGTCAAGTGGGAATAAAGGTCATGATAGATACAAATGCAACTGTATCCATAATTACATCAAATGAACAAGAGCTAAATACTCTATAAAATACCAATATTGTCAAGGTGAATTAAAAACAAACAAAACATAAAATCCAGCTACATGCTATTTACAAGATTCACCTGCAACATAAAAACAAAGAAAGGCGGAATATAAACAGAAAGAGAAAATAAGTACAATGCAATCACTAAATGAAACAAACTGTGAGAGTTGTACTGTATTAATTGCAAAGAGACAAGTCAAGAAGCCTTCTTAGAAAGATGGGGGGACGTACATTACATGCTCATATGTAAAGGTCATGATGAAACCCCTTTGTATAAGTAATATATGCAAATAAAATAAAAGAAAGATGAAGTGCATTTCATAATCATGAAAAGGCCAACCTACCAGAGGGATATCACAATCCAAAATCTATAGTCTGCTAAAATCGTAGATTTAAATTTTATGAAGTGAAATTTAAAGAGAAAGACACATTTACCATCTGTGGATGCTTTTAAAACATCTTTTTAAAAAGCTGATATAACAAACAATAAAATAAAATTTCGGCAATGATGGAGAAGATCTGAAAAAAAGACAATTTTTGATCTATCAATTTGCATGGTGCACTGTACTAAAACATTCACTCTCTTTTCAAGTCTTCTTGGAATATTTGCCTAAATTAAGGATATGTTGAGCAACCAAGCAATTCATTGTAAAATTAAAAGGACTGAAATTCTGGCTGTGAGAGCAGTGCACAAAAAGATATGTAAGAAATGCTTGATTACTTGAAAATTGAGCAATATGTTTTTATATAACCCATGGATCAAGAAGAAAGTCCAATAGAAATATGAAAAGCAATAAAGGTATGACGGCATCATTAAAAACAGAAGAAGCATTTTCATAAGGAATACAATGCCAGGAAAGCAAGAACTAGTAAAATGGAAAACTGCAGAAAAAGGACAACAGGTACTGCAGGGAAGTACTGCTGAGCTGGCCATTTCCGGTTGAACAGAGCTACACAAACTATATGGTAAGGAGTCACTTCCAGGCAGAGAAAAGGAGAAGGGTGTACTGCTGACTTTCGATTGCATTAGTCACACACTACTAATCTATCCACATTTCCATGTGAAGAAAACTAGCCAAGAAGTGCACAAAGAAGGCAGGTGTCTCACTCTGCCTGTCAGGATGCATGTGAAGTTCACAGGTACTTATAAGAGAGTGTCACTGTTCTAAGCTGGTACAAATTCTCCTTGGTTTTGTTCTAGTTCATTTCTCACTCAGCACAGTTTTTTCCTTCTTGGAATATTTATCTGCTAGTTTTCACTGACATCCGTGGTTTTCCCTCTCTAGTCTTGTTCCTTCCTGCTACCCTAGTGGGGTCTCTGCACAAAATCTGATGGCCTCAGCTGCTTGATCTGCAAATGACATATTTTGGGTTTTATGGTTTTTCACTATTTCTGAGTTTTGCTATAGAACTAGCTTGTGAGCATCACCAAACTCCTTGTTTTCTGAATGGTTTCCATGGAGAGACTTACATTGTGCATAAACTATTGCCCTCTTCCTCATGAAACCAGAAGAGATTGCTAAATGTCGGCATTCATATATGAGGAGACAATATCACTAAGACTCACAGAGAGATGATCAAAGTGTACATTTGTACATATTTTCTGGAATGTGTGGTGAGCACCTTTTACATATTTGTAACTTCAGAAATCTGTAATGGTTAATTTTGGTTGTCAGCTTAAGTGAATTGAGGAGATGGCTGGTAAATTGGTAATCTGTACTTCTAGTAGTGTCTGTGAGGGTGTTTCTGGGGAATATCAGTTTGCAGTTCAGTGAACTAAGCAGGGAAGAACTGCAATGGGCTGGAGCCCAGATGGCACCAAAAAAGTGGAAGTAGGAAGCTAGCCCTCACTCCTGTTCTCTCAGTCTGACAGATCCCTTCGCTCTTCTGCTGTTGCTGCCTGTGGACATTGGACTCAAGATTCTATAGTCTCTGAAGCAGACTTGTACCAGTGACTGTCCACGGGCCTTCAGACCTTTGGCCTAGGACAAGAGCTGCAGCACTGGTCTCTCGTTCTGAGGTTTCCAACTTCTTGGACTGAGTAGCTACAAGTCCCTAGCTCTCCAGCTGGCAGATGGCCACAGTGGGACTTTCTAGCCTCTGTGATCATGTGAGCCAATGTAATAAATCCCCCTTTATAGCTGTATAGTCTACTGGCTCTGGTTTTTTTTATGAGAACCTTGACTAATATGCCTTCTAAGAAATTTTCCTAACAAAGCTATCAGAAATCTAGACGAAGACTTATTTAAAAATACATCCAATGGAATATCATTTTTAACACCTAGCTAAATTAGGGAAATTACTGTTGGATTATTATAAACACATTAAAATAATATTTACTTATGTAATGCCACAAGGAAATGCCACAATTTTCTGTTGAATAAGCAGATCCATAAGGACATAAGACTAATTTTCCATCTTTTTTATATCAACTATGTAGAAAAAAATAACCCTGGAAAAATAATCTAATAAATTGCCTCTAAGTAATTGCATAACTAATGATATTTTTCCTGCTTCACACTTACCTAGAATTTTCACTTTTACCATAATGAGCATATATTATTTTGATAATTAGAAAGATTATAAGAAATATAATTAATTAGCCAGACATGGTGGCACAAACCTATAATCCTGGCTACCCATGAGTTTGAGGCCAGATGGGGAAAAGTTACAAAGACCCTATCTCAAAAACAAAAGGATTAGGTGTCTAGTGGTAAGAGTACCTGCCTACCGTGAATGAAATCCTGAGTTTAATCACTAGTAACACACACATTTACACACACACACACACTTAAAAGCTTTACCTAAATTACATGGTGACTCAGAGCCATCCAGTCCCATGGGTTACAACCCTAGCTAAAATAAAAAAGGAGGCCTTGAGTGAAGGTATGCACAAATGCGTAGTAACTTACCATATGCCCAAGCTCTGCTTTATAAACTTATTTATTCTCAGAATGTATAAAACGTAAAGAAGATAATGATGCATTGCAGGTGAGATTTGGCTAGCTCAAATTTCATGGTAGCCAAGGTATCTTTACCATAGAGCCTTTATACTTCCCAATTTATTGTCCAAAATAAAAGCTTCTTTGGAGGGAAGTTCGTACACAAATTATGCCTTTCTAGTCCTTGTTACAGTAATAGGGAGGGTCACTAAAAAACAAATTTCACTCAATTGTCTGCATTTAGGATGCAAACTGATAGAGATAGTTGAGTTCTCTAACTCCACATAGCCTAAATGTCCAATCCTCCCCCTACATCAAACAGGAATAGATATTACTGGTCACCATGAAATAACCAGTCAAAATGCCTCTATTTTTAAGTGTTCCAATAAAGAAAGCCAAACAAACAAAAAAAAAAGTCCAGGATTCAAAGTGAATTTACAAAAAGCAAAAGAGGAAGCGAATGACACTTTTCTTATGACTACACAACATTTATTTACTAGTGAGATTCTAGGGGAGATTCCTGTTACTTTTTATTTTTCATTTTTTGGTGGTACTGGAGTTTGAACTTGCTAGGAAGGAGATTCCTGATTAAATTCCTTGCATGGTCTAAGTATGATTTCACTTAAAGAAAGTTTCCTATCATCCATAGTTCATTTCCCTCTAAATTGACCACAATTTTTGAAAAATAGCATTCATTTTCATCAATAGCTCACAGTGACAAGAAAATTCAGACTATACTGCTGTTGCTAAAAATACCCTATCTTCTAACCCCTAGTGATCAAAAGGGTTTTCTGTGTCTTCTTTGAGTTTTCAATGTAAAAATCCCAAAAACGTGTACATACAAAAGATTTCCAGTAAATTAGTTCTTGAGTTTGGGGAATTCAGAATAAAATTTCTAGGAAACAAAGGACTTTCAAGAAAGCCTATGAAGGTAAGGGGTCAGTTTTAGTTCAAGTGAATACTGCCACAGGAATGTTCTTCACACTTTTTCTTTCAATTTTAATTTCCCTAATTGAACAAGAGAGGAACTACATTCTCTTCCTTAGGATTCTTGTGAAGAATTTCAGTCTCCATAAACTTTCTTACCTTCTGCATTGTTCATCTTGAACTAGATACATGCTACAGATGTTTTTCTGAAGGAGTTACACAGACATTATAAATGAAAGTAAAAGTGAAATGTGTGTATTTACCAATATGAAGCCACTACTTGGGTTTCCATATTTTTGACTTAACTTTGTTTAGTTCTTGTGACTGACCTTAGTCTTATAATATTTACAAATACTTTTTTAAGGTTTCAATTAGTCATTAAATAATGTAATGTATATTATTCTGACTGTCTTACATTATTAGTGAAGTTATTGAGAAACTGAAGAGCAGATAGTGAGATGCAGAATTTGTTCAGCTTGTATGTCCAGGATTGGCAAAGTATGATCCATGGGTGAAATCTCAGCTACCCCCTGTTCTTATAAGTAAGGCTCTTTTGAGTCGAGCCACACCCATCTATGCCCATGGCTGCAATAGGACAGAGGTGACTAGTAGGGACAGAGAAGAAAGGTTGTGTAGACTAGAAAGCTTAGAACATAGGACTGATAAAATGCTTGTCTAGCATGTGCAAAGTTCTGGGTTTGATCCCCAAGACCATAGGAAAATAGAGAAGCCTAAAATACTTCTTATGTGACTCTTTCCAGAAAAAAAAACTGACTCTGTTATATGCAATATTCTCTGTTTAAAATGCTTTAAACTCTGTATGATGGCATTTTCTTTTACAACCAAGATTTTCTTAAAACTCTGAATGTAACTTCACCTGTTACATTCATATATTACTTATCATTAACTATATTATTACATTAATGTGTCTATATTGTTTCTGCAATTTTAACAACTTTCTTACATGACCTCCTGTAGGCTGGCTATCTGCTGACATGGGCTTCCGTGCTCTGTGAGACATCACCAGCATCGACCATGACGAGACACTGCCTCAAACAGCCAAATGACCATGCGTTGGAATGGATTCTGTAGAAGTCAAAGGTAGTGATAAAGAAATCAAAAATTAGGTACTGACTAATCCTCTGTTTCTCAGATTAACCATTAACTGTGCACATAGTCACGCTGTAAAAGACCAGAAGACTGACATGGAGAAGCTCCAAAAGCCCACACTGACTTTTGTGTGTGAAATCTTCCCTAAAATCTTCAGAGTTCTCCATAACTTAACCCACATCCATGTTAACTATAATTTATATTGCTTCATACAGGGCTCTAGTAAAATGTTCCTTATTTTTGCACAAATAGTACAAAGGAAATGTGATGTCAGATGTGTAAGTGAATTTGATGGTACTATGTCTAAGAAAGGTGATGAAGAATAGCAAACATCTCTGCTCAGAGTGAAGTGACAAAGTCTCCGTTCAGATAATTAGCAGTAATATGCAGTACTACAGATAACATTGCATTTCAAAGTGTATCTGATTTTAAGGGGTTTAATTATGCCAACAGATTACACCATTAGAAAAGCTTAATTACACATCTCTAATTTTTCAACAAGGCAGTCCAATATATACCATTTAAAATGTAGAGTAGTATGACTTTTATTTTATAAAATAAATTTAAAAACACTTCAGCCAAATTTCAGGGTGACCCATGACATAAACAATATTTATATTAACAGTAATAGTAGTATCTTCGATAATCTCGTTCTGACCACTACCAAGGTAGTAAAAGTTTAATACAATCGTAATTCCAAGTTTTTCTAGTTTGTATGTACGCCAGTATGCTGGAAATTTTCTGAGCTATTTATTTAACAATATATACTCAGCCAGATGACTTAATAACTGGTTTCAAAGTCTCAGAAAGTTACCACAACTAGAAGAGAAAACCATGGAATCAAGTAGATAATGCTCTCTGGTTGTTTTTAAAGGAGAATGAAGAAAGCCCACGTGATATAATGGGTGAGGCAATTAATTCTTCGGGGACTAGAGTATTAAAGAGGCTTTAATGGAAGAGAAATAATCGCCTCCGGAGGATGGCCTCGTCCAGCCAGGACTCACCTGGCCTTTTAAGGGCTATAATACCCTCTTAGACTCCTTACAGAGTTAGAATCAGAAGGGGCAGCCAGGAAGTCATGCAAAGTAGGCCACAACCTCTTTCTCCCATTTCTCCCATTTATGCCAGATCAGCATAGCACCCTGGACAGACCGACCCCCACTCAAGGGAAAAAGAGAAACTGAATAATAAGCAATAACAACAAAAAGGACACATAGCAAAGAGGGTGGGGCACCCTGAGCACCAAAGAAGGGGGAGGGGAAATCCCTCACAAATAAGGCAGCTGGAGTAGGCAGGAGCGGTGGCACATGCCCAGCAACCAGGAGCGGGACAGCTTGTGAGAGGGGCAGAGGGAGGAAAACTCCACAGAAGAGGGGGGAAGACCCACTTCCCACGTGAACTGTAAATAAACACACTGGCCTGGGAAAGCGGGTGCAGTGTCACCTCCCCCAGTGTGCTTGGAAAGGGGAAAGCTTGTAGCAGTGGCTCGCGCACAGGAGAACTCTGAGTAAACAAAGCCTGCAGGGCCAGGTGAGTGCTAAGCTCACCCCTGAGATCTGCATAAATAAAGCCTCCAGCAACAGCAGGCTGACAGCAGTGGGCAGGCAAGCCACAGCTGCAGATAGCCATTCTCAGAACTGTCCCCAGACTTTTTTTTTCTCTCCCTACCTTTGATGAGAGAACAACTGAATTACACCTGCATGCTGAAAAACTTACTGAAACTGTATTGCATTTGAACTTGGGACACTTTGTGGGGTCTTATTTGGTTTTGTGCTGTTTTGTTTTGTTTTTTTTAGTTTTTTTTCCCCTTTGATGAAACAACAACAAAACTACTTCTGAGACACCATCTTGAGGATTGAAGGCTGAAGGACAAACACTAAAATTATTAAGACTGAAACTTTATTGCATTTGGGGAGAGGTTTTTTTTTTTTGGTGTCTTTTCTTTTTTTGGTGCTAGGATCAAACCCAGGGCCTCACGCATGCTAGGCAAGCGCTGTACCACCGAGCTACATCCCAGCCCACTTTATTGCATTTGAACTTGGAGATTTTTTTTCATATATTTTTTTTCTCATTTATTTATTTTTTATTTTTATCTTTATTTTTTTATTTTTTATTTTCAATCCTCTGTCTCTCTAATGCCTGTTCAGCTTACTGTTGATTAGTACGCTATCTCTCCCTGTTTGAAACTTTTTTTGTTCTTTGTTTTGGTTTTTTACTTGTTTATTTGTTTTTTTCTTTTTTCTTTAACTTCTTTGCTTTCCATCTCCTCTCACCCTTGCATTCTAAATATCACCATTATTATTATTACAAGCTAGAAAATACTTAATTGCACACAGTACAGGGACAGTAACAACACCAAGGGCAATGACGGGAAGACAGAAAAAACAGGGAAACCAGTTTCCCCACAGCAAAAAATTAGTACAGGAACCAGAGGGGAATGAAGAAAACAGATACTCAGATCTAGACTCCAACAAAATGAAGATAAACTATGCCAAAGGACCCAATGAAGCCCACAAGAATAATTTAAAAGAAGACATACTACAGGTACTCAATGAGAATTTTATAGAGATGATACTGGATAGGGTCAACCAAAATGTACAGGAGACATTCAAGAAATTCCAAGACAACAAAAATAGACAATTTGAAAAAGCACAAGAAAAATAAAAGAAACCACAGAAGCACTGTATAAACACCAAAGTGAAACAAAGAACACTATCAATAAAGAGATAAATGAACTCAGAACAAAAGAAGACAACAATAAAGAGGAAATGACCCAGGATATGGAAAACCTCAGAGAAAAGAATGAAACAGAATTGCAAAACAAAATGGAAGGCCAATCCAGTAGAATAGAACAAACAGAAGACAGAATCTCAGAACTCAAAGATGAAATGGTAATTAAAGGAAAAACCAAAGAACTATTAGTTAAACAACTCAAGATCTGTGAAAAGAAAATGCAAGAACTTATTGACTCCATCAAAAGACCAAACCTGAGAATCATGGGCTTTGAAGAAGGAGAAGAGGTGCAAGCAAAGGGAATGCGCAATATATTCAACAAAATAATAACAGAAAATTTCCCAAATCTAGAGAAAGATATTCCCCTACAGATGCAAGAGGCCTCCAGAACACCAAACAGACCAGATCAAAACAGAACTACCCCACGGCATATCATCATTAAAACAACAAGTTCAGAAACTAGGGAAAGAATATTGAAGGCTGTAAGAGAGAAAAAACAAATAACATACAAAGGTAAACCCATCAAAATCACAGCAGACTTCTCAACAGAAACATTAAAAGCAAGAAGAGCGTGGGGTCAGATCTTCCGGGCACTGAATGAAAATAACTTCAACCCCAAGATACTCTACCCAGCAAAACTATCATTCAAAATAGATGGAGCAATAAAAGTCTTCCATGATAAGCAGAAACTAAAACAATATGTGACCACAAAGCCACCACTACAAAAGATTCTTCAAGGGATTCTGCACACAGAAAGTGTAACCCAACATAACCATGAAAGGACAGGCAGCACCAAACCACAGGAAAAGAAAAAGCAAGACAGTAGAGAGTAATCTCAACTTAGGTACACACAATCAAACCTTCAAACAACTAAGACAACTAAATGACAGGAATCACCACATTCCTATCAATACTAACACTTAATGTTAATGGACTTAATTCACCCATCAAAAGGCACTGTTTGATGAAATGGATTAAAAAGGAAGATCCAACAATTTGTTGCTTACAGGAGAACCATCTGACTAACAGAAATAAGCATAGGTTTAGGATAAAAGCCTGGAAGAAGATTTACCAAGCCAATGGCCTCTGAAAACAGGCAGGAGTAGAAATATTTATCTCTGACAAAGTAGACTTCAAACCTACATTGATCAAACAAGATAAAGAAGGACATTCCATGCTAATAAAAGGGGAAATAGAGCAAAAGGAAATAATAATTATCAACCTATATGCACCCAATGTCAAAGCACCCAATTTCATCAAACATACCCTGAAAAACCTAAAAGCATATATTAATGCCAACACAGTGGTTGTGGGAGACTTTAACACCCCATTATCATCAATAGATAGGTCATCCAAACAAAAAATCAATAAACAAATCCAAGATCTAAAATATACAATAGATCAAATGGACCTACTTGATGTCTACAGAACATTTCATCCAACTTCTATACAATATACATTCTTCTCAGCAGCCCATGGAATCTTCTCCAAAATAGATCGTATCCTAGTGCACAAAGCAAGCCTCAGCAAATACAAGAAAATAGAAATTATACCATGCATACTATCTGATCACAATGCAATAAAACTAGAATTCAACAACAAAAGTAAAGACAAAAAACATGCACACAGCTGGAAACTGAATAACTCATTACATAATGAACAATGGGTCATTAATGAAATAAAAAAGGAAATTAAAAAGTTCCTGGAAGTCAATGAAAATGAAAACACAACCTACCAGAACCTATTGGACACAGCAAAGGCAGTCCTGAGAGGAAAGTTTATAGCCATGAGTGCATATATTAAAAAGACTGAAAGATCCCAAATCAATGACCTAATGATACATCTCAAACTCTTAGAAAAACAAGAACAAGCAAATCCCAAAACAAATAGAAGGAGAGAAATAATAAAAATAAGAGCTGAAATCAATGAAATAGAAACAAAAAAAACCATACAAAGCATTAATGAAACAAAAAGTTGGTTCTCTGAAAAAATAAACAAGATCAACAGACCCCTGGCAAACCTGACTAAAATGAGGAGAGAAAAAACCCAAATTAGTAGAATCAGGAATGCAAAAGGGGAGATAACAACAAACACCATGGAAGTCCAGGAAATCATCAGAGACTACTTTGAGAACCTATATTCAAGTACATTTGAAAATCTTAAAGAAATGGACAGATTTCTAGATACATATGATCACCCAAAACTGAACCAAGAGGATATTAATCACCTGAATAGATCTATAACACAAAATGAAATTGAAGCAGCAATCAAGAGTCTCCCCAAAAAGAAAAGTCCAGGACCTGATGGATTCTCTGCTGAATTCTATCAGACCTTTAAAGAACAACTGATACCAACCCTCCTTAAACTGTTCCATGAAACAGAAAGGGAAGGAAAACTGCCTAACACATTTTGTGAAGCCAGTATTACACTTATCCCAAAACCAGACAAAGACACCTCCAAAAAGGAGAACTATAGGCCAATCTCCTTAATGAACATTGATGCAAAAATCCTCAATAAAATAATGGCAAACCGAATTCAACAACACTTCAAAAAGATTATTCACCACAACCAAGTAGCCTTCATCCCAAGAATGCAGGGGTGCCCCACTACTGACAAATGGATTAAGAAAATGTGGTATTTATACACAATGGAATTTTATGCAGCCATGA